TAGTTCATAAACTTTTATTTTCCGGCTGGTGGATTTCCCAAATCTTTAAATCGATTTATCTCCGTAAATATAGCTCTAATCGCGATTTGGGGGGTGTTCAGATGGTCGAAATTTTTATACCCGGATTTCCCAGTTTAAAATATTTCATAAACTTTTATTTTCCGGCTGGTGGATTTCTCAAATCTTTAAATCGATTTATCTCCGTAAATATGGCTCTAATCGCGATTTGGGGGGTGTTCAGATGGTCGAAATTTTTATGCCCGGATTTCCCAGTATAAAATAGTTCATGAACTTTTATTTTCCGGCTGGTGGATTTCCCAAATCTTTAAATCGCTTTATCTCCGTAAATATAGCTCTAATCGCGATTTGAGGGGTGTTCAGATGGTCGAAGTTTTTATGCCCGGATTTCCCAGTATAAAATAGTTCATAAACTTTTATTTTCCGGCTGGTGGATTTCCCAAATCTTTAAATCGATTTATCTCCGTAAATATAGCTCTAATCGCGATTTGGGGGGTGTTCAGATGGTCGAAATTTTTATACCCGGATTTCCCAGTTTAAAATATTTCATAAACTTTTATTTTCCGGCTGGTGGATTTCTCAAATCTTTAAATCGATTTATCTCCGTAAATATGGCTCTAATCGCGATTTGGGGGGTGTTCAGATGGTCGAAATTTTTATGCCCGGATTTCCCAGTATAAAATAGTTCATGAACTTTTATTTTCCGGCTGGTGGATTTCCCAAATCTTTAAATCGCTTTATCTCCGTAAATATAGCTCTAATCGCGATTTGAGGGGTGTTCAGATGGTCGAAGTTTTTATGCCCGGATTTCCCAGTATAAAATAGTTCATAAACTTTTATTTTCCGGCTGGTGGATTTCCCAAATCTTTAAATCGATTTATCTCCGTAAATATAGCTCTAATCGCGATTTGGGGGGTGTTCAGATGGTCGAAATTTTTATACCCGGATTTCCCAGTTTAAAATATTTCATAAACTTTTATTTTCCGGCTGGTGGATTTCTCAAATCTTTAAATCGATTTATCTCCGTAAATATGGCTCTAATCGCGATTTGGGGGGTGTTCAGATGGTCGAAATTTTTATGCCCGGATTTCCCAGTATAAAATAGTTCATGAACTTTTATTTTCCGGCTGGTGGATTTCCCAAATCTTTAAATCGCTTTATCTCCGTAAATATAGCTCTAATCGCGATTTGAGGGGTGTTCAGATGGTCGAAGTTTTTATGCCCGGATTTCCCAGTATAAAATAGTTCATAAACTTTTATTTTCCGGCTGGTGGATTTCCCAAATCTTTAAATCGATTTATCTCCGTAAATATAGCTCTAATCGCGATTTGGGGGGTGTTCAGATGGTCGAAATTTTTATGCCCGGATTTCCCAGTATAAAATAGTTCATAAACTTTTATTTTCCGGCTGGTGGATTTCTCAAATCTTTAAACCGATTTATCTCCGTAAATATGGCTCTAATCGCGATTTGGGGGGTGTTCAGATGGTCGAAATTTTTATGCCCGGATTTCCCAGTATAAAATAGTTCATAAACTTTTATTTTCCGGCTGGTGGATTTCCCAAATCTTTAAATCGATTTATCTCCGTAAATATAGCTCTAATCGCGATTTGGGGGGTGTTCAGACGGTCGAAATTTTTATGCCCGGATTTCCCAGTATAAAATAGTTCTTAAACTTCCATTTTCCGGCTGATGGATTTCCCAAATCTTCAAATCGATTTATCTCGTAAATATAGCTCTAATCGCGATTTGGGGGGTGTTCAGATGGTCGAAGTTTTTATGCCCGGATTTCCCAGTATAAAATAGTTCATAAACTTTTATTTTCCGGCTGGTGGATTTCCCAAATCTTTAAATCGATTTATCTCCGTAAATATAGCTCTAATCGCGATTTGGGGGGTGTTCAGATGGTCGAAATTTTTATACCCGGATTTCCCAGTTTAAAATATTTCATAAACTTTTATTTTCCGGCTGGTGGATTTCTCAAATCTTTAAATCGATTTATCTCCGTAAATATGGCTCTAATCGCGATTTGGGGGGTGTTCAGATGGTCGAAATTTTTATGCCCGGATTTCCCAGTATAAAATAGTTCATGAACTTTTATTTTCCGGCTGGTGGATTTCCCAAATCTTTAAATCGATTTATCTCCGTAAATATAGCTCTAATCGCGATTTGGGGGGTGTTCAGATGGTCGAAGTTTTTATGCCCGGATTTCCCAGTATAAAATATTTCATAAACTTTTATTTTCCGGCTGGTGGATTTCTCAAATCTTTAAATCGATTTATCTCCGTAAATATGGCTCTAATCGCGATTTGGGGGGTGTTCAGATGGTCGAAGTTTTTATGCCCGGATTTCCCAGTATAAAATAGTTCATAAACTTTTATTTTCCGGCTGGTGGATTTCCCAAATCTTTAAATCGATTTATCTCCGTAAATATTGCTCTAATCGCGATTTGGGGGGTGTTCAGATGGTCGAAATTTTTATGCCCGGATTTCCCAGTTTAAAATAGTTCATAAACTTTTATTTTCCGGCTGGTGGATTTCCCAAATCTTTAAATCGATTTATCTCCGTAAATATAGCTCTAATCGCGATTTGGGGGGTGTTCAGATGGTCGAAACTTTTATGCCCGGATTTCCCAGTATAAAATAGTTCATAAACTTTTATTTTCCGGCTGGTGGATTTCTCAAATCTTTAAATCGATTTATCTCCGTAAATATGGCTCTAATCGCGATTTGGGGGGTGTTCAGATGGTCGAAATTTTTATGCCCGGATTTCCCAGTTTAAAATATTTTATAAACTTTTATTTTCCGGCTGGTGGATTTCCCAAATCTTTAAATCGCTTTATCTCCGTAAATATAGCTCTAATCGCGATTTGGGGGGTGTTCAGATGGTCGAAGTTTTTATGCCCGGATTTCCCAGTATAAAATAGTTCATAAACTTTTATTTTCCGGCTGGTGGATTTCCCAAATCTTTAAATCGATTTATCTCCGTAAATATAGCTCTAATCGCGATTTGGGGGGTGTTCAGATGGTCGAAATTTTTATGCCCGTATTTCCCAGTATAAAATAGTTCATAAACTTTTATTTTCCGGCTGGTGGATTTCCCAAATCTTTAAATCGATTTATCTCCGTAAATATAGCTCTAATCGCGATTTGGGGGGTGTTCAGATGGTCGAAATTTTTATGCCCGTATTTCCCAGTATAAAATATTTCATAAACTTTTATTTTCCGGCTAGTAAATATGGCTCTAATCGCGATTTGGGGGGTGTTCAGATGGTCGAAATTTTTATGCCCGGATTTCCCAGTATAAAATATTTCATAAACTTTTATTTTCCGGCTGGTGGATTTCCCAAATCTTTAAATCGATTTATCTCCGTAAATATAGCTCTAATCGCGATTTGGGGGGTGTTCAGATGGTCGAAACTTTTATGCCCGGATTTCCCAGTATAAAATATTTCATAAACTTTTATTTTCCGGCTGGTGGATTTCCCAAATCTTTAAATCGATTTATCTCCGTAAATATAGCTCTAATCGCGATTTGGGGGGTGTTCAGATGGTCGAAGTTTTTATGCCCGGATTTCCCAGTATAAAATAGTTCATAAACTTTTATTTTCCGGCTGGTGGATTTCCCAAATCTTTAAATCGATTTATCTCCGTAAATATAGCTCTAATCGCGATTTGGGGGGTGTTCAGATGGTCGAAATTTTTATGCCCGGATTTCCCAGTTTAAAATAGTTCTTAAACTTCCATTTTCCGGCTGGTGGATTTCCCAAATCTTCAAATCGATTTATCTCCGTAAATATAGCTCTAATCGCGATTTGGGGGGTGTTCAGATGGTCGAAATTTTTATGCCCGGATTTTGCAGTATAAAATAGTTCATAAACTTTTATTTTCCCGCTGGTGGATTTCCCAAATCTTTAAATCGCTTTATCTCCGTAAATATAGCTCTAATCGCGATTTGGGTGGTGTTCAGATGGTCGAAATTTTTATGCCCGGATTTCCCAGTTTAAAATATTTTATAAATTTTTATTTTCCGGCTGGTGGATTTCTCAATTCTTTAAATCGATGTATCTCCGTAAATATAGCTCTAATCGCGATTTGGGGGGTGTTCAGATGGTCGAAATTTTTATACCCGGATTTCCCAGTATGAAATATTTATCTTCGTCAATAAAGAGGGTTCGGCTACCTGATACCAACTTCATTACACCGTAAAAGCGTTGGCCACAACACATGGAGTAAATCGAGCTAAGATCAGATCACCGACAAACCGACATGAATGATCATAAGAATTACAAAGAAATTTCTGATCAAAGCACAAAACTGACATCTGCTGCAGTGTTCGCGGAAAATATTTATCCTAGCCACGAACACGCGTACAAAATTTATGAGTTGGTTCGTATCTAATCTATTTTGGTCAAATTATTTTTATCTAGATAATACATTTCTATGGATTTGACACATGGGATCGCTACACATTTGAATCGGCCGTTATGGATTCTCGATTAAGAGTTAAGTTTAAGTTTCATGTCGGCTTGTCGGTGATCGGGTCATGAACTTGCTGAAAACTTTGAGCGATAAAGCAAGCCTTATTTGTAAATTTATATCGAGATGGTTGCAATTTCCTTTACACGTCGCTTTCAATCATAGTAACATCCTGGTTACTGTTTGAACTGCATACCTGGCGTTTACCACGTTTAGAATGTGTTCCTTCCCGTTTTTGGCAACACGCGATTTCTGTCTTTTTTGCATTCTATAAAATGTATCGAACGCTTTGTTCAATTTGAAATTGTACTGGTTTAGAGGTCCATGTGTTATTTCATGAACATTTTTTCCAGAAAGCACTAATATATATCTGAGGAAAGTAATAGAGCTCTGATGGAGTTGTGTTGCCAAAAACGGGTAGAATTGTTTTTTTTTCAACTGTAATTGAATATCACAAGAAAAATAGCAGAATTGTACCATCGAATCCGACACAACAATGTACTCACCTCCATAAAAAAGGAGAAATCCGGTCCCGCCTGGAACATAATCTCCCGTCCGCCATTGGCCGCCACATCCATATTGATGAACGCCCGGACCCGATCCCACCACGGGTGCAGAATGAAGGCAGCAGCCCCTTGCAGGGCGTTCTCTTCGAACCCGTTGAACACAAACACTATTCCATGCCGATAGGCGTTGCTATCCAACGACAGCTGCCGCAAGATCTCCAGCATTACCACCGTCATCGTGCCGTCATCCCCAGCGCCCGGACTCTGCGGAACGCTGTCGAAGTGAGAACTCAACATCAGATAGTTTTCCGGTTCTGGGGCTCCGGCCGGAGTAACCTTGACCAGCACATTCTGAATACCCTGGAAGACGCTTGTCATCGGGTAGGTAGAGTAGTTGAAGAACGAGTCCCCGTCTTGCTTTTGAACTAGGATCTCGAAGTGATGCACCGAATTGGCCCTCGATGCAATGTGCTCGACCGTCGATTGCAGGAAGTCAACGGTGAATATCTCATTGTTGGGACTGCCTCCCACTCGAGGTCCCTGACTGGTCAAAATCGCTAGGTTCTCCTTGGCCACTTGAGCGATGAATCGTCCCGGATTACTCGCCTCGTCGGTAGTCGTCAGGCCCGTCGGTAGCGATACCCAATTCAGGTAGACCAGAAAGTAGATTCCAACAACGGTTGCCGTCAAGATAAATGACCACACCACGGATATCGTTTGTCCATAGTTTACGTCAAGCTCCGCGGCATCACCGCTTCGGAAAATCCAACCATCAATTACTTAATCCAAAATTTGACCACTTTAACTTACTCTTTGAGCCGCAGCTTATCCCGATAAGATTTGAACATTTTATTTGCCAGTCCGTTCTCGGCTGTTGATTACCAACATCTGAACGACGACGTTATATTCAGCAATCGAACTGCCCTCAGCCGAGCCGACTCACGATGACATATCTTATCGCCCCATGTAGTAAAAATATTGAATTAAATGTTATCGTCACCCCACTCGACGGGCACCCTCGCGAATGATTCGACCAGGAACTTTGCACACTCCCCAATTTGCTGATTGAGCTAATTGATACGAGTGGTCTTAATCCCTGGAATTAGTTTCTAATTCAATGCCTGCCGCACCGTGCCGTGATTGAGGCCAACACACTTAAGCTGCCACTACACCTCGCAAGACGCACAAGACGCGCCCTGCAGAGGACCTATCACTGGAGAACTTGTTAATTAAAAAGTTTTGCATATTTTTCCCCAAACGGAAAAATGCTGCTTTATGAGGGAGAATTCACGGCCCAAGAAGACCCCATCAGACTTGAAAGTTTAGTAGCAAAAAGTTTTGCAACAATTTCATTTGCCTTATCCGAGATTTTATAGCAGTCAGCCCGGAAAGTGGCAAGTTTATTGACTGCGGAACAGAGCGGTGATGCTCTAGCATGGGGCGTTAAGTGTTGTTGGTTGTTGCAAATTTACGTAGTTTGTTGTAATTGGCTCAGTTCATGGCGAATTTCAGTCGAACTGCCATTGGAGATGGGAGGAAAGTTTGGATTGAAGTCGAAAGTCGAAGTAACTGCCAGGTATGAATCCTGATGACTGAATAATCCAATCTGGGTACTCAATGTAACAGCCAGTAATCATGTTTTTAATGTTGTTTTGATTTTATCGTCAGAAGCATAGAATGTAAATGCTGTGCCTTTGCCTATATCTGTAGTAATTATCAATTCTATTTGTAAAGGGCGAACACGAAATTATTGCGACACATTCAACAGGGCATAACTTTTTTACCATTGGGTAAAAATCAACCAAATTTTGCACACTTTCTCATTGATGTGTATTGTGTACATGCTGTCAAACTCGAAGTCGTGTTTTTCGATTCAACGAAAATGGAGGTGAACCAACGCGAGTTGAGAGAACAAATTCTTTCCAAACACCTGGAATTTCCTGACCTGTCGCACCGGCAGTTGGGAAAAATGTTGAACATTCACCATTCAACCGTCTCCAGAGTGTTGAAGCGGTTCCAGGAGCGGTTGACGTTGGACCACGGCAAAGGAGCTGGAAGAAAACCGGGACCAGAGAACAAAAAGACGGAGGGAAAGGTGAAGCGGATGATTAAAGCAAATCCCAACGTCTCAAGCCGTGATTTGGCTAAAAAGATCGGCATGTCGCAGAGCTACGTCCAGAATGCAAAGAAGAGAGCTGGACTAGATACATACAAGGTACAGAACTTCTCAAACCGCGATGAGCGGCAACAATCGACGGCTAAAACTCGGGCACGGAAGCTCTACGAGAAGATGCTGACAAAATATGGCTGCTGTGTGATGGACGACGAAACGTATATAAAAGCTGATTTTAAGCAAATTCCGGGGTTGGAGTTTTTCACCGGCAAGAGCAAGTTCGATGTGGACGACAAATTTAAGAAGAAGAAAATGTCGAAGTTCGCCTCCAAATATCTCATTTGGCAGGCCATCTGCTCTTGCGGACTGAGGAGTGAGCCTTTCGTGGCAAAGGGCACAGTAAATGACGAGATCTACAAATCTGAGTGCCTCGAGAAGCGCCTTTTGCCGTTCTTGCAGCAGCACGACGAAGCTCCGCTATTTTGGCCAGATTTGGCATCATGCCACTATTCTAAAAGTGTCCTGGAGTGGTATGAGGCCAATTCTGTCCATTTTGTTCCAAAGGACATGAACAGGGTGCCTTCCATTCATTTTGACTAAAAAAATGTTTTACGAAATTATGGAATAATAAGATATTATGAAAATATTTTGATTATGTAAATAACAAGAAAAGATTGTTAAGTTTGTGTTTGACACAAAATACCTGCCAATTTTGCTACATGAGAGTCGTAATAAGCGATTTTGTAATTTATCTCACCCACTCTTCGCTCTTCACTCTTCGCGAAGAGGCGATCAGAAAAACGTTCATTGTGACTCTGTCAAAGCTAAATTTGCAGGTTTGATGTGTGAAACACAAACTTTACAATCTTTTCTTATTACTTACATATACAAAATATCATCATAATATCTTATTATTCCATAATTTCATAAAACATTTTTTTAGTCAAAATGAATGGAAGGCACCCTGGACATGAATCCGCCAAACTGTCCGGAGCTGCGCCCGGTGGAGCAGTACTGGGCAATAATGAATCGGGAACTTCGGAAGAGCAAGAAGACAGTCAAAGACGAGATGGACATGTTAAGAAAATGGAAAAAAAAACTGAGAAACTGGTACCGGATGACACTGTAAAGACTTTGATGGAGGGCATCAAGCGAAAATGCGTTCAATTTTACTCTCAAGGCTCCATCGATTAACTTTTCTTTTGATTTTTGAAGTAAATATATGTATAAAACTACCCTAAAATTTTGGTTTGATTCTAAACATTATAAGAAAATTGGCATGACATTTTCGGTGTCGCAATAATTTCGTGTTCGCCCTTTATTGCTTCTACGAATTTTAAACTTTCTGTGCGATATCTGGGAAAAACGCAAAAATTAACGAATCTTAGTAGAAATTTTGGAAACTTCACAGAGCATCAGAAAAATTCGTACAAATTCAGGGAGCTTTGGAAAAGTGCAAGGAACTCTTTTCAAATTTGGGGATCTTTGTTTCAGGGCACCCCATTATTGTTCGGGAATCTTCATATAATTTAACGATACTTTTTAGGAATTTCAAAGAAGATCTAAACATATCTCAGTGAACTTCTCAGATCTTATGGGATCTTCACTTCAGTTTAAAGAACTTCATTGAGATCATTATTGAAAAAAGCTCAATGAAATTTTGGGATTTTTTTAAATTCTAATGAACTTTGCAGATGTTTAAGAATATTTGTTGATGACGGGGGACTTTCCCGAATTTCAATGTTGTTCAGAGATCTTCGTAGAATTATGAGCGATGGAAACAATTATGAATTTGGAATAAATTCACAGAACTTCGTAGAAGTTGATAAGATTTTGTAAAACATAAGGGAATTTTGTTCATGCCATTCGAAAGTTGGGACGGTTTTTAAGCTGGCAAAATGTAGTTTTACACATAAAACAGCATCAGCAAATAAATTGAGGTTTATCAATAATTAAATAAAAGGTTGTTTGACAAAATTTCACCTATAATCACTAACCTATCTTAAGCTCCGCTGTTTACTTCACCTGCACACGTATCCGGCGGATTAATCAACTTCCATATAACTCATTTTTGACGTAGAATTACGTCTTTCGGTAACATATTGGGTGTGCAATTTAAAAAAAAATCAAAATCGACCGCATTACGAAAAGTGGTCAGGTTATGACCACTTTGAACTCTGTCAATAGCGGATAGTTTTTATTCTAAACAAGCTAATCAATTTGACATTTCTCTACGATTCTGCTAAAATGAACACTTGATCAATTTCCAATAGATCACTACTGAAAATTACACAAATGTCCAACTGTTGCAATGGTGATCAAAATTATCACCGATTGCCTGCGAAAAGCGCTTTCCCTAACACAGATTTCAAAATCGTATTCCATCTCGCCGAACGGTGCTTATTCAATCACCATGTGTGGTGGTATCCGGTCGGCCGTTGTCATCATCAGCAGCAGCAGTGATTTCAGCGCGCGGTGTTGAACATTGCTCTCGAGTACACAACGAAAGGCAGCCGCAAACAGTAAGCTGCAGCCCACATAAGCGTCCATTCACCGAAGAAGGAGGAAGAAGCCGCACCGCTACTGATTGGATTCAGTTGCTCGTCGTGAGCCGCTGTGGTCCATCTAAGCCAAGCGCGTCACCCTCGTTCCAAATAACATACAGCTCTCCATCCGTGTTTAACACCCTAATAGCTCAGCATTACTCAACCATCACGACAAAACGGTTCATTTCAGCACCACGATAAATTATTGTGGTCAAATGGTTAATTAAATAAAAATTCTCGCAAGGACCGAATAACATATGACCTTGTCAATTAACTAGAAATACTTCGATACCCATTGTGATGTACGGTTTACTCAGTTTACCGCATTGGCATATGGCCTGCCAGAGCAAGTATTTTTTGACGAATTTGTCCACTTTCTTCTTCCTTCTCCTTCCGGAACATCAAACCTTGACTTGGCAACGTAGAACTCCAGCCCCGGTATCTGCTTTGCTTGATCTGCTTGAAATAATCCAACACCTTCCGGGCCTTCACAGGGTCAGCTGTCTTCGATTTTCTTCCACTTCCAGCCGGCCGCTCGGTCGTCTGGGACTCCTTAAACGATTTTACCACCCGAGACACAGTTGTATGAATGATTCCCAGTTGTCTTCCGATCCATCTCATGGTCGCAGTCGGATTTTCCATGACGGCGTGCAAAATTCTCCGGCGATTTTCTTCTTGTTTCGATGACATCTCAATAACCACTGAACTAGCACATGTAAACAATTCACTCCAAACTAGTTATACCCAGATTTTCATCAATTTTTACCCACGGATAAAAAAGTTACACACGGATAAAAATTGTGCATTTTTTTCGAGTACAAGCCATATACCTCCTCCATGAACCAGAAATGTGTAAGTAGTTACTCCAAGCGACCCGTACTTGCATTGTGGCAGTTGATATGCAAACCCTGATTTCTTTCTGCGACAATCCAACCTAAAACGGAGCCCTGTAAGGCCGGAAGTTGCTCTCCAAATGAGATCTTCCTGTCACAGTCGAAGAACTCGAAAAATGCTTCAATTCCCAGAACGAGATCCACTCCCGACGTGATGCAAAATGATGGGTCAGCGAGCTCGGTTCCTTCCGGTGTCGCCCAGCCGGGGATGTTGATGCTAGCGGTTGGGAGGTTTGCTGTTACCTTCGGAAGTACCAGGAAGGCCATCTGGTGCTAGAACTTTGATAGCCGGGAACGGATCGTTACCACAATCCTTTGTTTGGCCTTGGA